GTAGTAAGTTAAGTAAGTAAGTAGTAGTAGTAGTAGTAGTAGAGAGAGAGAGAGAGAGAGAGAGAGAGAGAGAGTTTTCATGGAACTGTGCACAAATGACTTCATACAAACCAATATCCATGACATAACTCTACAACAAAACAAATGATTATACAAGACAAAATATATACGTGTAATACTAGCTAGTCAAAGATGCTATTAATTCTTTGGGTTCTTTTCTAATATCTGATTAAACCACATTCTTTTAGATATCCCAAAAGTTCACTTAAATTGGTAGTTTTTAAAGTGATATATACTAGGTGTAATGAATATGTGCATATGGAAAGAGGCACATGAATTTACCTCTTTGGCGTTTCCTAGGCACTGGAAACAGCCATCAACAAAGATGCCCAGTCGATCACAGAGAACCTCCGCCTCTTCCATGGAATGTGCTGTAATTACATGTCCAAGAGTAAGTATTACTGGGATTGAGAGAGAGAGAGAGAGAGAGAGAGAGAGAGAAAGAGAGAGAGAGGAGGATGCCACACTTCATCTGTAAGAGACAACCTATGAGAGGAGTATCAGAAAAGAATTTTTAAAAATGGATATGCAATGCTAAGACAAAGGAAAGAGTGGTAGATAAGCATATTACTTGTAAGAATGATTGCCCGATCTCGCTTTGCACGTTTGACTACACTCCATAAGTTGTTTCGTGAAGCTGGGTCTAGTCCTGTGCTCGGCTCATCCATATATACAACCTGATAATATAAGACGTCACAAAGATTTTATTTCACTTTCTTCTTATAAATGATAGAAAGCTTCGTCGCCAAGACATTATTCAAAAATCAAATGGACTACAAAAAAGGAAGAAAGAAACGGGGTGAGGACAATAGAAAGATAAAAACATGTACATATTTATCAGCATGAAAACATCTATTTCCCAAATGCCCTAAACCTTAGCAATAATTTAATTGCAATCTGAGTATTTATGTCTGAAATAAATGTTCCTTTTGTGAAAATGAGAGAAATTTCTGAAAGTGAATAGAGTATGACAAGGCAAGGACCACGTCATGAATGTCAAGAAACATGCCATTCCTCTTACTAAGACAATTATGCATACCTGAGGATCTCCAATAAGTGAAATAGCAACACTCAGCCTCCTCTTCATACCCCCACTATATTTACCAGCTTGCTTGTCCCCAACACCTCCATTATAAAGATTTACACTCTTCAATGATTCTTCCACATTCTGTAACAAGAAAGAATATCATATATCCAAATGTGAATTCATGCACATGCACATGCACATATGTACTCATACTTTGCAAGAATTAAACATACATCCCAAGTGATAGAACCATAAATCAGTACAACGGACTGGGTTCCTACAGTTTTTAAGGTGGCACCCTTGAGGTTCTTTAGTCTACCATAGAACAACAGATGCTCCCTACCACTTAGTGTTTCCCAGAGCAAGCTGTATCACAAGTAAACCATTAGAACTCAAGAAAGAAAAGAGACTCTGATCAGTCAAGCAAAAAACCCAAATCAGAGTAAACTCAAAAGGATCATCCAAGTTTTACAAATAGTTCATTCAATTGATTTTATCATATTCCCCAGTTCTATCACACACACACACACACACACGCACGCACGCACACACACAGCATTTCATCCCTTTTACATTCTCCATACTAAGAGTCTAGGGATAGTCATGCTTACTCATGCTGTGGACATACACCCATGCTTGTATATATTTTATCCATATCAGTACGTATGTCCAGACCCTCCACATAAGCATGGCCAGAACTAGGTGACATAAGCCCAATCATCTGTAGTCATGTAGCCTTCATCAGAACCTTTGATAATAAACAAACTAAAATGAAAAACAATATGAAATTATTACAACATTAAGCTTACAATGTAGAGATATGAATATGATAAATACAGCAACTGAGCTGTAAGCCCATGACATTCAAAAGAATAGATAGCAGAGCACTAAAAGGAACTCAAAGCCACATTTCAGATGGCCTATAAAACCGTGCAATTTTGAAATCTCTGGACTTTCCCACTAATTTGGTCTGTTGGATGCGATTAAATATTTAAGGAACCACTCACCCATAAGTTTGGATGATTTAATGACCTAATGAGTCCTACCAAACCCGAATACCCACCCAGCCATTATATATATATATATATATATAGACAGAGAGAGAGAGAATCAAGGTTGGGTTGTTGCAGGCGGACCATATTGATGAAGGTGGTCTTCCCGGCACCATTGGGTCCAAGCATGCCGAAGCATTCCCCTCGAGGCAAGGCAAGAGAGAGGCCACGGACTGCAAATTTTGGGGGGTTTCCATCCCTCCCTGGATAGACCTTTTTCAAGTTATCACAGATGATAGAATGGCTTGTACTGGATTCCATTAGTAATTGTTCAACCGCCTCCCTCTGCAATAAGAGAATTAAACTACATTTCATTTAAGAAAACACACGCGAAAATATCTAACCCCAGCAATTCCATTCAGTTTAACAATAAAAATGACTGCCAGGGACGTAAAACAACAATGGTAAATAAAGAAAAGTTGGATTCTAGGAAAATGCATACAAAAGATACATCTAACAAAAAATTTAACATCAAAAGTTTTCAAATTGTTTAAGGAAAGCCAGAAAAAAAGGAAAGTCCTTCACCTCTCGAGAAACATCAGGTTTTTCCATATCTACAAAAACGTTAGATCCTTGTCGTTGAAGACTTGGTCGGTTAAAAGATAGTGAGCGTTTCTTCCTGATGGATTGTAAGAAAAATAAAGGATGTTTCCTGATTCCACTTCCAAAGGAAGCAACTTGATCTAAGTAGTACGCAAGCGGGAGAAAAATTATCCATTCTATGAGCATGATAATTAGGACAGCCATCATTCCGTTGTCATCATCATTCAAATTTTTCCATCTCATGCCTTCGGTTCCCATGTAATATCCTGTAGAAGAATACTGTGCAAGCTCATATAGTCCCCTAAACAAGGAAAAACCAGGAATGATTTCCATCACCAAAACCCAACCTCCTGCAAGAATTGAAAAGCCATGAGCAAATTCATGCCGATTTGATTTAGAAATGGAGATATCAGAAACGTTAATGAAGTGCCTCATAAGCTGTCATCCACAGTACACTATGATCAAATGGACTATGGAGAACTTATAGTCCTCTGGATTGTCACCACCCATTGAACCATGGAGAGAGTGAGAGAGAGAGAGAGAGAGAGAGAGAGAGAGAGAGAGCACAAGAACAAGATATGACCCTGATGTAGGGTCCCACTCTTCTACATCACAATTCATCATATCAAAGAACAGTGGTTCTTCCATAGCCCATTTGAATATAGCATCCTTTCCCTTTTTATTTTAAGTAATAAGGAAAAAGCATCTTAATGCATAGAGAAGCCCACATCTCATGAAAATCATGTCCCATTCACTTACTTGGAAAAGATGTATCTTCAACAAAGAATTGGAGAAGATAGGCTCCTAAGAGCCCTGATCCAAATACATATTTGTATGCAGCAACTGCCACCATCAAATTTCATAATAATATATCCAGGTGCCTTGTCCAAGTCTCATAACAAACAAAAAAGAGAAGTAATAAATAATTTTCATTCAACTCAAACCTGTAGCAGTTTTGGCATTTGAAAAGATCGTTGCCACTAGGAAGGCAAATGAAATCTGCAGATTAATGTAAATGAAATAGAACACAAATTGTATGCCATAGGAATTCAATGTGAAGAACTTCAGCCCTGTAACATAAAATGAATTTGCATTAAAAGGTTTCACTTACATAACTACACAGTAAAGCATGGTGTACGAGAGAATATTACCTATAACGGAGCCAAATATCACAAAACATATCATATAAACCAATGATATGGTTAGGAAATATGCATAAGAAATAACCCAATAAGGGCCATCACCAAGTCCGTGCATTTTCATCATGATCCGCAAGTTCTTTTGCTTCTCATAAACTATATATGTCAATATCACCTACATGGGCAGGATTGAACATAAAAGTGTATAAGAGAAATATGAGTTCATCTGATGACCTCTTGACATCTATAATGACAAACTAAAGTCAAGTTTCTCTCCAGCTAGGTGGACAATCAACAGTTCTATCATGTTAAGTATAATCAATGTTTGGAAACCCGGATCAGCAACGGGGATTGACCATCTGGAAAAGTGATCTGGATCGGCGGATTAGCAATTGGGATCGGTGGATCGGCAGGATCCATCCTTAAAAAATTTCAAAAAATCACTAAAATTTATTAAAAATCTAGTTTTGTAGGTTTCCAGAAAAATAGTGGTATTGCAGTATGGTTTTCCATTATTTTACCAAAAATACATGATACTAAGAACATGTCTCATGTCTAAGTATTTGTTGTTCATTAGATTCATTTTATAGTCAAAGTGCAGTTTAAAAGGCAACTCATTGCGATAAATGGATCTCTCCAACCCAGTGTTCTTTTTCTTTTTTTTTTTTTTTTTTTTTTTTTTGCATTTTTATGATCTCCATTGCCACTTGCACTTGCAAAGAATAAGGCTTTTGTCTACTCTTTTCTTATATTTCCTCTTTTCCTGAAAATTAATTTATTAAATTAATCATTTATTTCCAAAAAGATGGAGTAAAGAGACTATAATATAATATTTTAGGAGAGAGAGAATGTACATGTTTTAGGAGAGTATGTGTGTGTGTGTGAGAGAGAGAGAGAGAGAGAGAAAGAGGTAGAGTGGATCTTACGTTATGGAACACACATATTATGTGAAAATGAAGAACTTTAAGAGAGAGAGAGAGAGAGAGAGAGAGAGAGAGAGAGAGAGTAGGTAGGTTGTTAGTAGTAGTTAGTTATTATTATTTAGTTAGTTAGTAGTACTAGTTAGGTTAAGGTTAAGGTTAGTTAGTTCGTGGTACGTACGT